CTTTAGCGAATGTGGGAAGTATTTAAAACCCAATACCAACCAATTTAACACTTTTAGAATCGTTTAGTACCAATGTTCTCTTATAATACTCAACCCTACACACAAATTCCGAAAAAGAAATCTAGCTCTCTACAAAATTTTGTGTCATTTTTTATCTTTGTACTCTTGTAAAATTTCCAAATTTCAAATATAGCTTCACCCAAATCCAAATTAAGTACCAGTTAGTAAACATTAATATAAATTGCCATAACTACCTACATTAACAATCATAAATACGAATTTCCAACACTTCTAACATACCCCAATCTTAATTCCAAATTTCAGGATTCTATCGTTTCATCTAAATCCATTTTTTTTTTCAAATTTTGTGCCATTTAATACACATAGGTAAAAATATCCATTACTTCCTACAGCATGCAATCCAATGAAAACCTTATTACTCAATTTCAAGATTTCAGCTCTATCGGTTAGCTTTTAATCCAAACTGTGCCAAATCTAGTGCCATTTAGTACACATTAGTAGACATTTCCCAAACTTCCCACATACCCCATTCGAACACTCCAACAGTGATCCTAACCACCATTTAGTACACATTAGTACGAATGTCCAATATATTCAACATAGCCCAATCCTTCACCCCGACAGTTATCCTAACATCAAATTTCAAGATTCTAGCTCCATCGGTTTACTCAAATCCACATGCTACAGAATTGTACCAAATTTAGTACATTTTCGTACTTTTCGGATAGTTATAGTTCGAATTTCCAAATACCCTTTGCTACACCTATCTTACACTCCATCAGCGACCACCAATCCAAATTTCAGAGTTCTAGCTCACATGGTATCACATTTTGTACTTTTTAGTACTTTTCGTACCGTTCTAGTACGAATTTCCAAAAACCCAGCCTTATCTGTCACATTTGGACCAAGAGTGACCCTCACTCAAAATTTCAAGATTCTAGCTTCAGCCGTTTAGTCTGGGCGTTGATGAATCGTTAAGGGAACCCACCACCCCCACATTCTCGGGGTCAACATTTTTGTTGATATATTTCGAATCTACACTGATTAAAGAATGTCTCTACAAAATTTCAAGTGAAAATCTCAAGAACTCTTGAAGATATAGCCGATTTATTGTGTCAGCATCAAGTGACGGCTGAAGGGCTTCTCAAACTTTAAACGCGTTTTTCTCTAAACATTTTTTTGCGAATGGCGGGCACGATAACTCAAAAACTAATAATCCAATCGGTTCCAAATTTTGCAACGATTCTCTGGGAGTGTATAGCTATCGTATGAACTAGGATAAAGCCAATCGGTGAAGATCTTCCTTATTTTTTAACTTGGTTTTTGGTAAAAACTCGGCGATTTTCCAGAAATATTTTTTCAAAGCTCCACCATTTTGTTAATTTTAGAGCGAAGTCAATAATCCTAGTTCATACGAGAGCCAGGGTTCCCTGAAATATTTGAGGAATTTAGAGTTTTATAAATTTAGTCTTAACAGAGGTGTACATGTAGTTTTATTGTTAAAAAAATTTACCATAGCGTATACTCGATTTTATGTGCGATTTTTACTCTATTTCTTATTTAAATTTAATTATTATTATTATATTATTACTATTTTTTAATTTATTAATTTTATTCTCCTAACTTCTTGTCATTTTAGGACACCTGGCTAAAGGCTACCGAGATGAAGAGACAATAACATGTCAATGTATTCCATGGAAATTGATCATAATGAAAAATCATATATAAATAATTATAAACTAAAATAAAAAAACACATTTTTGTACTATTTAAATAAGCAAGAAAATTAAAACGGAAAAGAAAAAAAAAACGCCACAAAAATATACTCTATGCACTATACATAGTTATTATATATTTATTTGTATTATTATGTATTATACAAATTAAAAAAAAACAATTAAATAAAAAAATATTTATTTAAATAAAAAATAAAATTATTTATTTTTTGTTTTAATTGTATTATAACATGGAAATTAGAAACGGATCATATTTTTTTAATGAAAACTCAATTTAATTTGATATACGGGGCAACCCTGGCAATGACATGCAAATAGCGCCATCTATTGAATTACATGACTGCTACAGTCCCATCTAAAGGCGTGTTTTAGCATGAAAATTATAAATTTTTATTTTATATTTAAGGAGAAAATACATTTTTAGTTTAGCCATAATGTGAAAATTTAGTTGTCCTATAACTTTTGATCTGCTATAGATATTTAAATAAAATGTGTGTCATATGAGAGGTGAAATCCCATACTTTGTTGTAGAATTACGAAAATTTAATTTTTTTTTAAGTTTTGGGCATGAAATGTTGTATTAAAGTTGTCTATAATTTCCCTCGATAATAATAGTAACATTTCACCTTGCATCCCTATGCAACTTGTGAACGAAATTTGATGCGATTTCAGATTTTCCGAATATGTTATCTGTAAAATAAAATTGTTAAATATTAAGAAAACAGAACCACTGTGCATCGTGTCACAAGACAAGCAATGCAAGAAATCCATAAATAATAATTTGAATTTCTTTTGCATCCGCTGTATTGTCCAGATGTCCTGGATCTAGTCTACTAATTCTTGTTCTCACATCTCTAAAGAATACCCAATGAGAAAACATTTTTAACGAATGGAGAGGTTAGTGCCAAAAAACAAAAGGGATATATACTCAAAGGACGGTCAAGGTGTCGACAAATTAGGTCACTAGAAGTGATATATAAAAACATATATAACAGCGTTGCACTCCATTTCCACTTATATAAGTAGAGGACTTAACCAGAACCGGCCGTGCGATAGAACAGTGTTGGTAGCGCTTGACCTATCAAAAGCTTTGATACTGTCAACCATGCCACACTCTTTGAGGACATTGAGAGCACTTCCCTCCGGCCGATTTTGAAACGTTGGATAATCAACTATATGTGTGGACGCCAGTCGTACGTGGAGTTCCGGAAAAAGAAGTCCAAACCCCGTAGAGTTAAACAGGGAGTTCTCCAGGGTGGAGTGATTTATCCGGAACTGTTTAACCTCTACCTTTCCGGTATTCCACGCCCTACGGAAGGCATAGAAATCGTTTCATATGCAGGTGATTGTACGATCATGGCGTCGGGTCCCATTGGTACATATGTGTGAGATTGAACGCCTATCTCATCGATTTAGCAGCATTATTCAAAGTGAGGAACATGAAAATATCCGCCTCGAAGTCGTCAGCCACACAATTCACCACATGGACTGCGGAGATGAGAATGCCGTTGAATGTGCAGGTCGAGCGGCATACAATTCCGACCACCAACTACCCCAAAATACTCGGAGGCACATTCGAAAGTATGTTCAAATCGTCCGCGCAAACCACAGCTATCTGCGATAAGTTGAAAAGTAGGAACAAGATCCTCAAGTCGCTTGCCGGCAGCACTTGGGGCGCAGATAAGCAAACCTTGTTGACCTCTTACAAAGCGATAGGTCGGTCTGTGGCAAGCTATGCGGTTCCAGTGTGATCTGCGAATTCCAGTGATACGCAATGGAGAAGTATTCAGACCTGTTTGCATGCCGCCCTGAGGACTGCGACAGGGTGCCTCCTCATGACACTAGTGGACCATCTTCATGAGGAGACGAAGATCCTTCCCTTACGTCAGCATAGCAATATGCTTTCTAGAGAGAAAGATCCAACGATACAAAAGGGAGCCTCTAGATCAAGTTGCCTATCGAGCAGGTCTGAATGGCATACAGATGCAGTAGACGCAGCGCTGAACGGATACAAAGTGAATGCCGTCCTCGGAACTCACCCCCACCCATAGCAGCTGAAGAACGTCAGCTTCCCAGACAAACCAGAGTAGTTTTGGCCCAGTTACGTTCTGGATGGTGCAGTCGGCTCAATTCGTATTGGGCACGGATTGATGACCAGGTGCAGGATGTCTGCCCAGCATGTGGTACGGGCCCTCATACCACACTGCACTTATTCAATTGCCCAGCCAAATCTACTCACCTTACTCCGGAAGATCTGTGGTTACAGGCAGTGGAGGTAACTGCATTTCTAAATCTGGAAACAGAACTGGAGGAAATTTAAACAGAAACATATACAATTCATATAAACGGTTACAACAACAACAACTAGAAGTGATATTCCTTAAAATTGGCAATTAAATAAGAGCAGATTTTTTTTTTAACGAGGCTAACGTGGAGGAGACACTTTAAAGTAAATGGTCACCAATTTCTTCGGTAAAATTGGTCATGTTGCCACTAGAGTTGGGTCGTTACGGACCTATATACCTTTATATACTGCAAAATATCATTCAAATAATTTTTGGTATAATTACAGCATAAAAATATATGTTTCTTTCGATTTCTTGGAGGCTAAAATAAACATCAATTTTTTGGGTCAATTCCAAAAAAAATATTTACAAAATTATTTTTTTAAAGCAAGCGTTTAAAAGTTCTCCTTACGATGCCATTCGAATCGGTAAGAAATTTGTCTTAAATTGTATGAAAAAAACGATTTTAATTATTTTACGACATGTAAGATTTGGGACTATTCAGTTTTTGCTGGCCGGATTGGGGTCATGTATTTCACTAGATGGCGCGATTTACATGTCATTGCCAGAGTTGCCGTCATACATGAAAATAAAGGAGTAATTTAGAAATAACGAATTTTGTTGCATATTTTGAGGCGCTTAAATAATATTAAGCTGAATAATGTAAATTATTTCACCCGCAGCTAACTCAGCGACTACTTAACCGATTTTTATAAATTTTACAGAAATATTTAGAGAAAATTCTAAGGTTTTATTTCATATTTTCAATACATATATACAATTTTTTAATATATTTTTTAACCCCCAAAAAAATGCGTAGATTTTTGGGAATATTTTTTAAACAACGAAAACACATTTTATATATTTTGAAAAAATTATTTTTATATTTTTTTTACATATACACACACAAAAATGCATTGTTAGGGATTATAGGGTGGGGATAAACTTATTTGCAAACTTAATTTGTATTTTTAAATAATTTTCTATAGAGATTTCCGGCTAAACGTAGCGCAGGACCAAAACGATTTGGCGCCGCACTATTTCGATTTGGTGCCACCGAGGCGGCATATATGGGTCGCTGATTTTTCGACAGCCAATTATAGATGTCAGGTTCGAATTTATCCAAAAATGTTTCGGTCATTTTGATTTGTTTTCCAACATCTTTGGAATTGGGTTCTATTAGCGGGGCATTGTATTCCACTGTTTGCGAGAATAATTTCAGCTCTCGGGATATTAACTCATGGAATGAACGGAACTATAAGCAAGAGAAAAAGGAAAAATTTTGAAGATGTGTAAATATATAAAAAATCTGCCGTAAACATACCTGATGACTATGTGTACTGGGTACATATTCCGCCATAATATTGAAAATTTCCGTAAAGTAAGGATATTCCATAAGAATCTTATAATTATTGGCAATATATTGACGTATAATGGAACGTGATCGACCATTGGCTCGGGACAACCGCTTGACATTCAAGGCCGAATCATTTGGATTGATAATAAAGTTGCTGGCATTTACCCCAATAATCATATCCAAATATTGTCGAATATGCGATGGATTTTGGGTACAGCGTAATGCAATAATGATATCATCGAAAAACATCGTATCACGATTTGTGGCCTCAAGGACACCAACGACATTTTTAAACTCATCATCGCTTAGATATTTCAGGCCATAACAGAGAACATCTCCGGTGACCACATAGTAGTCTTCCTTCGAGGAGACAAATGCAATTTGTTCGAAAATATAATCGAATGCTAATTGTCGTGCATAATCCAGACACTCGGTAAGATCAACATGGCAGGCCATTTTCAGCAGATTCTGGCGGGATGTATGTTCGGAACCGGTTTTTTCACTCAACGCCTGACGGGCCTCATGTATCGAGGGAAAATATTTCAAATAGATCGGCCTCACCAAATATCGTACAAATTGTTTGTAGTGTTCATGCGAAGCGGTATTATCCAAATGACGTTCGAACAGTTCCACGGTGGCTTGGACAAAATTCCACACTAGTAAATCCTCTTCATGGCTGAGGTAGCTAAGTAACTCAAATATGACATCGACATTTTCCACTTCATTGTGATCCAACAGCGGTTGCAGGCAATAGAAAATATCTGCCCGGTTAATGGGGTGAATATCCAAATGATTGTCCTGCAATGCCTTGGCAATTCTCCGCAAATTCTCATCATCGTATAGGACATGATAAAACCCACTTTGCTGCTTATTAACAATCAACCAATCATTCGGTTCCAATTGTATCCCCAGCTGGGAAACATTTAACTCCTGTTTCGCCACCGGCGGCATAAAATAATCCGCAGCTGTATTTTCAAAATCATGATCTGACTTCGAGGCAAAATTCAATGGAATCCATAGGTTTTCTGCATACGGAGAACGTTGCTGTTGCACCAAGGTTATTGTGTTATTCTCATAGTTCCTTATCACTTTTATAATCGGAACTTGTTTACTGTGTGTCCACGAATACATTATCTCTGGCACTAAGGGGACCCATGTTTTGCCTGCCGATGCCTCATCTTGTTCCAGGGCATTTTGTAAACATCCAAACAAGTCCATTTCATTAGCCACCGAATACTGACTTGACGTGAACATGAAGGGTAAAAACTTTTTCAGATTAATTGTTTTGTGACCATCATCATCATCTCAATGAGATTGTCGATTCGGACTTACTATTTTCTTAAATACTGTTGAATGCCGCGCAGGAATGTCTGCTGGCCGAAGGCGTGATGGAACATTTTTATTACACAGGCAGCTGGAAGATGAAAAGAAAAAAGAGGGGGACATGTTAAAATATAAAGGTGGAGCATAGAAAGGGTTACCCTCAGCTTTAAACTTTGTTACGATAACAATGTGCCTCATCGAAATATAGGTTTTATACCCCACGTACCCCATTATAAGGTACTAGCATGAATGAGCCCATAAGATTGTATATAGTAATATTTTGAACATAGTAATATTTTTAACAGACATAGATCAATACCGAAGATGGGACTCATCGGTCCACTCCTTTTGGTACCTCCCTATGTTACGCCCAAAAGTTGTCGATACCCGTTTTCGGGCACAATCTACACTAAAAAATATTATTGCGATGACAATTGAATAAGCCGGTATCGGTTTGACAGCCTGCCACCAGCAGATATAAAAGTAGGGCCGTTGGTGATAATCGGGAGTCTTCTGTAGATGGCTGTGGAGTTGAAAAACGAACACTTGGTTAGGAAAGTTGTTGTTGTTGTAGCAATTTATATGAATATATTTTTTCCTGTTTAAATCCCATCTGGTTCTGCCTCCAAATTGAGAAATGCAACTACTTCCACTGGCTGCAATACGAATTGAGATGACTGCACCATCCTGAACGTAGTATGGCCAAAACTACTCTGGTTTGTCTGGACAGCTGACGTTCTTCAGCTGCTATGCATTCAATCTGTTTCCGTTCAGCGCTGCGGCTACTGCATCAGTATGAATGCTATTCAGACCTGCTCGATAGGCAACATGATCTAGAGGCTCCCTTTTGTAACGTTGAACCACTCTCTCTCTCTCTAGATCATGCAGATCCTTCCTGACACGAGGTTTCTTTATCTGCGCCCCGAGTGCTGGCCGCAAGCGACTTGAGGACCTTGTTCCTACTTTTCAACTTATCACAGATAGCTGCGGTTTGCGCGGGCGATTTAAACATACTGTCGAATGTGACCCCGAGTATTTTGGGGTAGTTGGTGGTCGGAATTGTATGCCCCTCGACCTGCACATTCAACGGCATTTCCATCTCCGCAGTCCATGTGGTGAATAATGTGGCTGTCGACTTCGTGGCGGATATATTCATATTCCTCGCTGTAAAGAAGGTTGCTAATTTGACGAGGTTTGGACTTCTGGTTCCGGAACTCCACGTACGACTGGCGTTCACACATATAGTTGATTATCCTACGTTTCAAACTCGGCCGGAGGGAAGTGCTCTCAATGTCCTCGTGACATGGTTGACAGTATCAAAGGCTTTTGATAGGCCAAGCGCTACCAACACTGTTCTATCGCACGGCCGGTTTTGGTTAAGTCCGCTGTTGTTGTACTGTGTTGCTTACGGAATCCATGTTGATAAACCCCAACTGGATAGCTTTCTCTAATACTGGGGAGGAGTAATGCCTCAAGGGTCTTCGTTACTGGCAACAAAAGTGAAATCGGTCTGTACGATTCACCTTTGCTGATATCCTTGCCCGGCTTCAGTAGCGGGGCCACCCTGCTTGTCCAGGCTTCGGGGGCGAAGTGGGTGGCTATCCTGGCTCGTTCAGCTGCTTTAGCATACACATTGGTATTTCGTCAGGGCCCAACGCTTTGGATGACTTCGCGTTATGGATGACACATGCAACAGCACCCATCATGAACTGTGGTGGTACCTCCTCAGCTGGAAGAGATCTTACACGACGAAGTACTCTTCTCTTCGCCCTGTCGCTCTCGGGTTGCTCGACAAACTGTCGGTTAAAATAACTTGCGCATCTCTTCGGATCAGTCACAGTTTCGTCGTTAAATGTGACTGATGTCCTATCATCCTTCTTACCAGGGCTCAAGCGACTTAACCGTTGCACACAGTTTACTTACTCCGGTACCAATGTTGCAACTCTTCAGGTGCTCCAACCATTTATTCCTCTTCTGCCTCCAACGTAAGTTCCCTGACCCTAGGATCTGCTGGTTTAGATCGACGTAGCTCATCATGCTCATTTGCTAGGCCAACTGCTTCTGCTGGGAAATTAGGTATCATTTCGGGAATTCGACCAGCACGTATAAATCTGCAGCTGTAAAGATGCCTCGGAATTTTTTCTGCTACCCGTACATTAGAAGCAATGGAAAGTTCTCTGAAGCGCTGGTTGGTGAACTCTCTGAATCCTTGCCAGTTGGCTTTCCTATGGTTAAGGAAAGTGCGGCGTTCAGAGATGACGAAATCGGGCGGTCTGTGCCAAGAGAAATGACGGGCTGCCAGTTGGTGCCATTTATCAGACCTGGTGGCACAATGTTTATGTCTGGCGAACTGTGACACTCTCCCCTTATTCTGGTGAGGGCATCCTCATTTACCGTGGAGGAATGCCACAACTCATGGTGGGCATTGAAATCCCCTAGCACCAGACGGTTATTGCCATCCACTAGAAAACGAATGTTGGGCAAATAACGCGGTTCACAGCTAATAATCGGCGGTATATACACGTTAAGCACCTCTCCATCGGCAGTACCACATTTAACTGCTATCCCCATACATTCCATGTATGGGTCACTAGAGTCAAGCTCAAGCGAAATAGGCCTGTATTGAAGAGAGTGGTGCGTAAGGAATGATAGGTCTCCACTTCTGGTGCGATCCTTCCCCTGTAGGCTAAAATTTTCATTGAGCTTGGTTTCCTTGCAATTAAATTGCAGAAACGATGCACTGTCAGGGGTGGGGACAGCAACGTGCGGTGAGGAGACTGCGGTGGAATTCCGTACTCCGACGAATCAGATGACGCCGTAGACGAAGACTCGCTGGAGATTGCACTGTCGCAGCACGAGGCAACGTAATCCCTTTCGCTGTAATCTCGCAACCGGGCCTGCACCCATTACATCTCACCGATACTGTACTGTGGTGAATGAATATAAAGTCCGAATGTGGGATCCATCGGTCGACGCCGTCTGGTACCTCGCTCACAAAGGGTCAATATCTTGTAATAGTCGCAATAAAAAAATATAAAAAACAGTGATGTTCAGAGACCAAAATATATAATGTTTTGAAAACCGATAGTGGTGAGGTCCCCCTTAAACTCTATATATATAAATATACCCACATAATATAATAAATACCTTTTTGATAACCGATTAAATCGAAAATATCCACAATTTCCTTTTCTTCTTCCACATAATGAGTCATGGCACGCCAGCGTGCACTATATTTGTGATAGCTATAAGCCCTGTAGGCAGTGTCCATTATGAAATATTCCAATGGTTTAAATTCCGGGTGAAGCTACAAAACATACAAATATAAACATTAATAAATAATCTTCCTCCCAACCTCGCCTACTTACCAAATTAATAATGACATGTGAAAAGTATGTGGCAAATCCTTCATTTAACCAGGCGTAGGACCACCATTCCGGTGATACCAAATTACCAAACCACTGATGGACAATTTCATGAACAATTGTTATGGTATCACGAAAACGATGCCTCAAATCATTTTCCGTATAGAGTAGAAAATCTTCTCGATATGTGATGAGACCCCAATTTTCCATTGCCGCACCATAGTTTTTATTCAATGCCACATGATCCAATTTATCCAGCGAGTAATCAACACCCAAATACTCTTCGATGGCAGCCACTGTGCGTATGGCAAATTCCAACTGATGTTCGCCTTTATTTTTCGACATTGTCGGCGTAAAAACACGTTGCGTGACATGACCCTGTCGCTTGGAGATATAACCGAAATTTGATACAACAAATGCCACTAAATAGGTGGATATCGGTGGTGTTGGATAAAAGATCGTTGTCGATAAATCACTGTCACTGGAAATAGAGTTAATTTATTTTAGTTACTTTTAAATAGAAAGAGAGAGAGATAGAAGTGATATCTTACTTGTGATGAATCACTTCTTTCATGGGCATATTTGAAATGGCCGAATATTTGTTGCTGTGAGTTATCCGTATTGTAAAGTTGGCTTTAAATGCGGGTTCATCATAGCAGGGAAGTGCAAGTCTTGCACTAGTGGGTTCGAACTGAGTCGCCGCTTGATAACTGCAAGGGAAAAGAAAAGAACAATTTTGTAGTTTAATTCCACATAAATAATTTTTACGAATATGATAATAGGATAAAATGGCGAAATCTTTATAAAAAGATAATAGAAAACTCCCAGAAAATCTGCAAAAGCAGCTAGCCTAAACAACATGACAAAGATATGATGAACGAATGGACTCCCCGACGATCACAAAATCTGAATAACAAATCACAAACGTTGACAATTTCAGAGCACTGTCTTAAATATTTAATCTTATGAGGTATGTCGACGAAGTAAAAGTCTTCCTCTCAATTATGTCAACATAGAACTGGCTGAAAAATATATCTGAAAATTTCCGTCAGGGATTATTTAGCTTTTATTTATATTGAAAAATTCTGAAAGTATATTACAACGAAGTCCTTCTTGTTTACAATGTAGTCTTAAAATTGGAAATAGCCCCCAAATGATGTTGGAACGTTCTAGCCGCATTTTCCCAAATGAAGTAGAAGTCTTCTTACCGCTAATGTCAATATATTCGGATTTTGGCATATCTTCACATTTTCCTAATAATGTTGTGACAAAGTAGGATAAATACGGGCACGTGTCCATACTACATATTAGTCCAGACAAATGCCATCAGGTAGCGCTGTCTTGTCTGTTTAGGGTGTTAAGATACAAACCATGTGTGGTAAATTTCAGATTCAACCCTGTTATCGTTATCGCAGACACAATCCTTTGATGAGTTACAAATGTAACCCAGTGATCGTTTTAAATGTCGAATTTTCTATGACGATTTAAATTTTTGTGGTCTGCTGCGAATTGTATCGATATTGCAATCGGAATGAAAAAACATCAATTTTGCGCGAAATTTTTACGAAAATGATTAATGGAATTTTTTGAATCATAATTATGTTATTACCACATGATGTATGTCAAGTGCTATCACGCATCATACTACTGCTATTGACTTATCGGATAATAATGTCAGCGACTACTGCTGTTATGATTAGTTTTTATTAATTCTGAACAAATCGAAGAGTATATACCTTCGTTCGAATATACTTTTTGTTTTGAATATAGGACTACTGTTTTGCAATAGCCTCCAAATGGGAAGTATTAGCCGCATTTCCTAAACGAAGTAAAAGTCTTAGTCTCAATTATGTCAAAATAGAACTGGCTTTATATAGTTTCTGATTTTGGCATGGCTTCACATTTTCCTAACAATTTTGTGCCAAAGTAGGATAAATGTGGTCTTGTGTTCAAAATGGTGTCATATTGTATATTAGTTCAACCAATTGCCGTCCGAGGGGGCTGTCATGTACGTGACATTGTTACGAACCATATTGTGGAGAATTTCAGGTGTAACCCTGAGATCAAATCCTAATATTCTCTCCATCTTGTTGAGGAGGATAAAATATAGAGGAATTTTACATTGGGGTAATATAAAATACAAGGACTTATATTGAGTGCAAAATTACAGCCACTTCGGTAGAAAATGCAAGTGACGACGTTTATGCATTCCGGATTTGTGGTGAGTAGAAATCTTCTACACAGAAAAATTGCAATAGAGGTCTATGTTTTTACATAGTCCCCATAAGGTGGAATATATATTAAATTTGTCACTGGGATTGCAACATCTATAAATGTTCGTCGGATATCTATTTAATAAAACAGCAAGTGATTGACTGGCTGATGATTCATCAACGCCCAGATAAAACGGCTGAATCGAGAATCTTGAAATTTTGAGTGAGGTGTCAGAAAAGGATGGCTTTTTGGAAATTCGAACTAGAACGGCACGAAAAGTACCATAACTATGGTAGTACTTGTATTTGGTGAACCGGTAGAGCCAGAACACTTATATTTGGAATGAGGGTCACTGATGGAGAGTAGGATAGATATACCAATGGAAATTCGAACTATAAGTATCTTAAAAGTACTAAAATTTACTACTTTTGGCATAATTTCGTAGGATAGAGCTAAAAACTCTAAATTTGGAATGCTAATTAAAGTTGAGAAGTAGTATCGATATAAGGAGGTGGTTTTGGAAATGTGTGATCATGCATACGCAAATTACCAAACAGTTCTAAATTTGGTACAATTTAAATTTGGACGAACGGATGTAGCCGGAATCCTGAAATTAAAATTACCGTCTGAGTGTAGGATTGGGACATGCAGTTTTGAAAATATGTACTTATGTCTACGAAAAGTACTAAATGGTACTATATTTAGTATAATTTTCATTTGAGTGAACCCACTGAAATTTGGAATAAGATTTGGAAATTTGATATAATTTAGATTTAGGTGAACCGATAGAGCTGGAGTCCTGAAATTGGGAATTAGGATTACTGTTGGAAATTTGGTATTAATATTATTGTTGGTGTGTAGGATTGGGGTATGGATGACGTTTTGGAAATTTGTTCTTATTTGGAACAATTTCAATTTGGATGAACCGATATGGCTGGAATCCTGAAATTAGGAAATAGAATTTCTATTGGATTATTGAGATGGGCACATATGGAAGTTTATGTTAATGTGTATAATAAATGGTAATAAATTTGTTAAAATTTCGATTTGTGTGAACTTATAGAGGTCGAACTAGGAAATATGGAATTAGTTTTGGAAATAAGTACAACAGGAGTAAAAAAGGTTATAAATGGTATAAAATTTGATATAGATCTATATTTCTATTACGGACTGAGTTAGATAGTGTAGTGTTGAGATATGGAGGTAGTTTTGGAAATACGTACTAAATGGTACCTAAATTTTAATTATGGTCGATATTGGTTTGTATTTTCAAAAAAGAAGAAAGAACTAGAAAAACGTGACCAATTCGAGATGTACAAGAGTCAGAATAAAGTCCTGAATTTTTTTGTTATCCACCATAGACCTGATTTTCACACTGCGCCCAATCCTGGAAAAGACCTACGAAAAATACATCGACATATTCCACCTATTCGTCGACTATAAATCCGCAGTACTGCAAAATTAATACAACTATGCAGAATAACAGTTAAAGTTTTTAAAGTCGGAAGGGCCTATCGGAGCGCTTAGTTCGTCGTGTAAACTTTGTAACGTAACCGCTACATTTCATACCACCTTATTAATATAATACTAGAATACCTACATTTAAGCAACCTGCGATTCGTTCGCTTCCTGCGATTCGTTCGCTTCCGCGACTCGTTCGCTTCCGCGACTCGTTCGCTTCTGTATAACTCTTCTAGTTTCAGAAGGAGTTTGAACGAAGGGCGCCACCGACTACATCAACCCGAGTCGACTACTACAACCCGAGCCGACTACTTCAACCCGAGCCGACTACTTCAACCCGAGCCAAATACTTCAACCCGAGTCGACTACATCAACCCGAGCCGACTACATCAACCCGAGCCGACAACATCAACCCGAGTCGACTACATCAACCCGAGCCGACTACTCCAACCCGAGCCGACTGCTTCAACCCGAGCCGACTACATCAACCCGAGCCGACTGCTTCCCGCATGTTACTCTCTATCTAAACACAGAAGTATTACAATAAAGAATTTAACTTTTACCACTCGTGTTTTTAACTTAAGGTGTGTGGGTCCTTGAGTTGATCCTGGCTGCGACTGAGCTTACTTCAGCCTTAGACAAAACCACTCGTTATAACTTTTTAACATCCAGCTGGAAAAGGTCATACGAGATGCAAATGTGCGCTGATGACGTCGAAGACCAAGCTGATGGTATCAACGCGCCAACTGTGGAACTTGAAAACTACAGCTTCCAGGTATTGAACGATTTTATATACCTCGGTACCGCCATAAACAATACTAAACCTCAGCTTTCAAATCCAGAGAAAAGTAGTATTGGCCAACAGATGCTAATATGGTCTGAGTAAGCTATTCAAAAACAAGGCCGCCTCTCGCCATACCAAACTTTTACAAGACGCTATCCGTGCTGTTGTGTGAATCTGAAGCATTGGTATTTGCGCAACCAGATGAGACAGCTCTTGGTTAATATCGCGGCCGAATGAACCATCTATTTTCGGACATCGACATAGTCAGACGGATCGAGCTGCAGCGACTACCTTGACTAGGTCATATAAAATGGAGCTAACTGATGGTTCACGCAGAAGGGGAAGGCCACGCAAACGATGGAAAGATCAAGTGGAAGAACTGCGCACAAGACCGACGCCCCTAAAAATCTGTTTTTTAAAGTCGGAAGGGCCTATCGGAGCGCTTAGTTCGTCGTGTAAACTTTGTAACGTAACCGCTACATTTCATACCACCTTATTAATATAATACTAGAATACCTACATTTAAGCAACCTGCGATTCGTTCGCTTCCTGCGATTCGTTCGCTTCCGCGACTCGTTCGCTTCTGTATAACTCTTCTAGTTTCAGAAGGAGTTTGAACGAAGGGCGCCACCGACTACATCAACCCGAGTCGACTACTACAACCCGAGCCGACTACTTCAACCCGAGCCGACTACTTCAACCCGAGCCAAATACTTCAACCCGAGTCGACTACATCAACCCGAGCCGACAACATCAACCCGAGTCGACTACATCAACCCGAGCCGACTACTCCAACCCGAGTCGACTACATCAACCCGAGCCGACTACATCAACCCGAGCCGACTACTCCAACCCGAGCCGACTGCTTCCCGCATGTTACTCTCTATCTAAACACAGAAGTATTACAATAAAGAATTTAACTTTTACCACTCGTGTTTTTAACTTAAGGTGTGTGGGTCCTTGAGTTGATCCTGGCTGCGACTGAGCTTACTTCAGCCTTAGACAAAACCACTCGTTATAACTTTTTAACATCCAGCTGGAAAAGGTCATACGAGATGCAAATGTGCGCTGATGACGTCGAAGACCAAGCTGATGGTATCAACGCGCCAACTGTGGAACTTGAAAACTACAGCTTCCAGGTATTGAACGATTTTATATACCTCGGTACCGCCATAAACAATACTAAACCTCAGCTTTCAAATCCAGAGAAAAGTAGTATTGGCCAACAGATGCTAATATGGTCTGAGTAAGCTATTCAAAAACAAGGCCGCCTCTCGCCATACCAAACTTTTACAAGACGCTATCCGTGCTGTTGTGTGAATCTGAAGCATTGGTATTTGCGCAACCAGATGAGACAGCTCTTGGTTAATATCGCGGCCGAATGAACCATCTATTTTCGGACATCGACATAGTCAGACGGATCGAGCTGCAGCGACTACCTTGACTAGGTCATATAAAATGGAGCTAACTGATGGTTCACGCAGAAGGGGAAGACCACGCAAACGATGGAAAGATCAAGTGGAAGAACTGCGCACAAGACCGACGCCCCTAAAAATCTGTTTTAAACTCGTCTTATGGAACAAATCTTCTGCCACAAGCCATAAAAGTAATAAAGTCATTCCCATAATGTTTAGTGATTTTATGGACATCACGAAGTAACCGATCACATTTACGCCGATCAAGTACATTTATAGTATTGTCATTTTAACACGTATATCGACTTATCGACTAGGTCAATATATTATCCATCAAAGAAAAATTAATTATTGTCGTTTCAAATTCCTATAATTTTATTCAGTTATAAAAAAATATCTATACCATAGGAAAAATTTAGTATTTGTACCACAAGTACAACTGATTAGTTTTTTCGAAAATTTTAATATTGAAAAATCAAAAATAGACTGCTATCTTTTTCAGGTATGACTTCACACGATATTATAATGAATTCCTTTTGGTTTACAAATGCACTATTTTATTTAGCCACACATATTTAAAACGTTGCGTCCCGCCCAAAGGTTGCATACATTTGTTTGTTTTGTTTACCTCTCACACATGAAGCCCTATCATGCCGGAGATAACAATATCACCGCTACTACGACAACTACTATAAAAAAATATTATTTAATACAACTTTCGATTCGAATTATTATTGGCAAAAGATTATCAGCGACGTCAACGACGGCGACAAAGTGCATAGTACTCCATGACAACGTAGCAACATTTATTTTCCCCCAATTCTTTGTAGAGGGGTTCCAATAGTTTGTTTTTGTTTTAATGATTTTTATTATTATTTATTATTACTTTTTGTTTGTTTGTTTTTGTTGTGAACTTGTGATGACGACACATTGATTTCAAGTGTTTATCTCCTTATCAGTGATGGTGGTGGTGGTGGCCAGACTTGACAGAGATTATTCATAGGGTTCCGATGTCTGTGTGTTTTTTCAATACCAAGAAAAATCAGAAAAAATTCCGCCGAATTTTGACATTTTGTTTTATGAAAGTTTCCTCCTACTAATCCTCTGACTCATAATTTATTTGCCCCCAAAACCAAACAAAAAACCAATGAATAATTCCCTTTACTTACATGACCTGATTTCCGGCATCACGGTAGGCCAACCAATACAGGCCCAAATGATCTTCATTCATGGTGCCATCGTAGAGTATTTCCAAACGATATTTCTTGCCAACTTCAAAGATTTGATAATATTCCTGGCCATGGATGATGAGGAAATGACGACGTGTGTCCAGCGTATAGGTAAGGTCACGCAGCATATCATCACTATCCAAATCGGTGGCAGTTATAACAAAGTTGCTGAGATTTTTTGCATGCAGAACTATTTCATCGGTGGTCTCGCGTATCTCAATGTCAATGGTGGCATTACCCGTGAAATACAGACCACCCACATGGATGTTGGTAACAATGTGGAGATTATATTCCAAAGGAAATGTTGAATTAGGCAGGCGTAATGAGCGATCTCTTGTGCTTGCTGGTGGTACTGATGATGGTAATGAAAATGTTGTCACCTCCTCGGCCTCCTCCTCCGCCGCCGTTCTTTGTGTTACCAATGAATTATCATCAACGCCAGCCTCTTGACCCACAACCCCGAATACTGTTGTTGTGGGTAAAATTAGGCAAATATACAATAGAAGAAATTTCCATTTTTTATTTAGAAGAAATATTTTATTTGACCGTGTCATTATCAACTCTAAGAAAATATGTTCACGTCCCCGTTTGACGACACGTCGATCGTTCCACAACCGTTCAATACGAAAAATAAAAATCAACTAAACATTCGGAATTCGAGGGAAAACAAATCGAAGCGACAAGGCTCTCATTGAACGTCGATGATGATAAGTGATCCGAAAATACAATGACAACAATGTGACAGCGCCAGCACCACCACCACACCGCATTTTGATAAGATAATCGAATGCGTATACTATTGGAGAGAGAGTGTGTATAACAGTTAGTATAAGAGTTGCGTGTATGAAGAAGGAGTATGGTGCAATCTTCCTTAGCAAGAATGTATATATGTGTGTGTCTGTAATTGAGTAAAATGGAGAACGCTTTCACCATCGTAATGAGAGCAAACTTAATTGCAATAACCCAGAAAAAATAATGAGGATCAGGGATGGGAGTTATTATTTTCTTGACGACTCTTTAACTTCGCCAATGTCTTGAATTGAAGTCTAATATGTATAGAAGACCAATCTGCAATATATAGAAAGATATATTTTATATGCTAGACCTTTATTGATAGAGCTTATGTCTGCTTTTTACAGAGTACAATCCATCTGTAGATAAAGGACAACCATTAAGGATAGATGACAGGATAGATTAAGATTAGATGACATGTTCTCGAAGGATTGAGGACAAATCATCTAAGAATAGAGGATAAGTCCTTTAATGATAGATGACTAATTCTGAGGATGTGTTATCAATCCCTATAGGATCTGTCCTCTATTCTGATCCTATAGGGATTGATAAGACATCCTCTAAGTATTGAAGACAAATCCTCTATGGCTAGAGGACAACAAAACTTCTAAGGATGAGGCCAATTCCTCTTAGGATAGAGGAAAAATTATTATCAGATGGAAGACAAATCCCCTAAGGATAAAGGACAAATACACTAATGATTGAAGACAAGCGTTAAAAAGTCCTCTATTTTAACATCTAAAATTCATATCAAGTATGATATCAGGTACTGTCGTCAGCGAGGCCTGGTGAAGGGTCACTGAGGCAATGATCCTTAGAATCCTTAGGATTGATTTGGCGAGTGTTTGCACTCCTAAATTAATCAGTAATAAATAGGTTTGCAGTTTCCTAGTTGGGAAGCCTTGTACTTTCTACTAGGAATCAAGTATGATATCAGGTACTGTCAGCGGGGCCTGTGGAAGGGACAATGAGGCAATGATCCTTAGGATTGACTTGGCGACTGATTAATTTCGGAGTGCAAACACTCGCCAAGAAAAGGTTTGTAGTTTCGTACCCTGAAGATAGACAACCTAACCCTAGGGTGCTTATCAGAAAGTTTAAGCTGCATTTTCTAAACGAAGTAAAATGGTGTACCCCTTAACTATCTCAAAACCAAACTGGCTTTATATTTTTCTAATAATGTTGGGCCACAGAGGGATAAATAGGGGCACGTGTTCAAAATTGTATATTACATATTAATACAGACATTTGATGTCAGGGGCGCTGTCGCCCTCCCTGCTTGTAGCCTAGATACGAACCATGTGTGGTGAATTTCAGATGCAACCCTATGATCGTTATTACAGACACAATCATATTAATTCAGACATTTGATGTCAGGGGGCGCTGTCGCCCCCTGCCTGTAGCCTAGATACGAACCACGTAGGTCCATGTTTTTGTTCTGTGATTTGCTGTCAGAGCACCGGATAAAATTGACAATTTTGATACTACGGTAGTCGAAATACCACCCTTAAAGGCTGGAAACTTATTTACATATGCTTGTATTACCCGATTAAAGGGGGCTTCAGAGGAAGCACAGACTCCAGTGCTTATCCAGGATGGATAATGAGAAGCTGACACCTATAACCAAAGAGTAGCTATCATAGACTGCTGACATTTTTCTGGGGTAGTGTGTGCGCTTCAAAACGGTATTCCCTGGGTATTCATTTAGGACCTGCATCAGTGTGAGTTCTATTCAGATCTGCTCGATAGGTATCTCCATCTGGAGGTTTCTATTTATAACACATTGGACGTTTCTCTATAGATCATGCAAATCCTTTCTGACACGCCTAGTTGGGAGAGTTCTATCCACCTGTACTGCAACGAAAGCATATTACTGATCTAAGGAAAGGATCTTCGTCTCCTCGTGGTGGTGGTCCACAAGTATTCGTCACTGCCATCACATAGCTGGCCACAGATCGACCTATCGCTTCATAAGAGGGCTGCCGTCAACCGGTTTGAGGACTTTGATCCTACTTTTCAGCTATAGTTTGCGCGAACGCTAATTATCATGCCATCAAATGTGACCCAGAGAAATTTGGAATAGTTAGTGCCCCTCGGGCAATACAATAAATTGCAGTTTCATCTTCGCAGTTTATGTGGTGAATAATGTGGCCGAATATGTATTAATATTCTTCGCATGGAAGAAGGCTGCTAAATCGGCGTTCTACCTTTCACATATCACTCATTTGCTACAAGACCGGCATAAATCCAAAAATAGATCGAATCTGTTTTAGTCCTCGACTTATAGTGAGATCGGCCTGTAAGATTCACTTTTTCCTGCATCCTTTCTTTACTACGGCAGAGGGCCACCCTATCTATTGTCCAAGGCATAGGAAACTATGTGAGTGGCTGTGAAACTGTCTCATCCAGCTGTTTTAGCATTACCATAGATATAATGTCAGTTAACCAACGCTTTAGATGACTTACAGCTACGAATGACACTTGCAACATAACTCATTGTAAACTGTGGTGGTACCTCCTTGGCGGAAAGAGATGAGTTAGTTTTATCGTTAAATGTGTCTCAGGTCCTATCATCCTTATCAGTGTTTCAGAGCGTCTTAACTATTGCCCAGACTTTCCTTCGCTATTATTCGAACCCAGGGCATGAGATTCCTAGCCTTAGGTTCGACAGAACTCACCACGATCCACTTATATAATTGATTATCCAACGTTTCAAACTTAGTCGGAGGGAAGTATTCTCGATGTCTTCAAACAGAGTGGTCATTTAGGCTTTTGATACGACCGAATCTGGTTTAGCCCTCGACTTATATGTGCGTAGATGGCGTGCAAGTCAGTTATTGTGGTGTGTTGCTTACGGAACCTATGCTGATTATACGCAACTGGATAGCTTTTAATGATTCAAGAGTCTTAACTACTGGTGACACAAGTAAGATCGGCATGTACGATTTACCGTTGCTGACATCCTTGCTTGCCTTCAGCAGCGAAACCACCCTACTCATTGTCCAGGCTTCGGAACCTATGCGAATGGCTGTCGTGCTGTCTCATCCAGCGGTTTCTGCATTACCATAGATATGCTGTCAGTTAAGACGAATGGTCATTTTATAGAAACCAAATGGTCCTCGCATAGAAGGTCAGAATTTATTCGTATTGAAAACCAAAGAAGAATGTATTCTTAAGAGATCATGAGTTCTTCTTCTAGAAGCTTTTCTTGGAAGATCAAAAGATATTTTTTTCCAGACGGGCTATATAGAAGATCTTCTTATCGTCTCATTGAAAACCTGTTGGATATGAAAATACAATTTTCTAATCTTGGGTGCTATATATGAATCTGCGATTGCGTTAACAACGCCCAGGTAAAAGAATTTATTAGAACATCTTGAAAAATTAAAGAATCGTCATATATAAAATCGTCATACGAAAATAATTTCCTCCGAATGCTTGAACTTGTCACATTAATTTTACTTCGATTTCATTTTGATATACCCTCTGTCATTTTTCTCACATACTATTAGATTATTTTTGAAGTACCTGGGCCATTTTTTTTTGTTTCTGGTATCTCTATCAATTGCGGTTATGGTTACGACTACGATTTCGTACGTTTTTGTTTTTCTTGTATTTTATATGTCATCATTGGATATCGATACGACATTGGAAAGTCATTTGGAATGTTCAATTCTGATTGCTAATCTAAATTTGTTGTTGTTTTTGTTTTCAATACTAATAATAATTGATTAAGTTAACACATTATCGGAGACTATCGTAACACGCAAATCTTATTGCCCTGATAATGGCCAGCCATGTCAATACTAAGAATTATTCGGTATCTTTGGAATATGACGAGGTGTTAAAAGGCTCTACATTTCTGAGGCGGCGATCATAGTCGTGTTGCGAGTTGGCCAACAAACAACATGAATTGTCGTTTGAATGCCGCTGTAGCTTTAATCGTTACGATCCTTGCTCTGGCAGGATCAGTACACTCCGCCAGTCGTCGTACTTTTTTGCCCATTGAAGAATCGGTACTTTCGGGAACGCCACGCGAGGATTTAAATTATCGCCTACCGAATGACACATTACCCTCACATTATGATATCGTTCTGACCACTCGTGTCGATGAGGGTATTCGTGATTTTAACGGTGTTGTAACCATCGATATTACCGTTCTGGCCGAAACCAATAAAATCGTTTTAAATGCTCGCCAATTAGAATTCAATTGGGCAACAGTACAACAAAGCGGTAGTAGCGAAGATGAGGTGCTAAATATTGCCTACGAAGAACGTCGCGAACTTTTGACATTGTCCCGAAAAGTTGAAACACCCTTCGCCAAGGATACTAAATTGAAATTAACGGTTGATTATTATGGCAAGTTGCGTAGTGATAATGCCGGATTCTATATGACCACCTATAAAGATGTCGATGGTAAACAGAGGTAAGTTGTGTGGTCATAAAAATAGAATCGAGTGGAATGAAATGGAGAAATAAATCAATTCTAGTGATAGTGTGGATTATTTATAGAATTATTATTCGATAAGTGTCTGTGTGAAGTGTTAAAACCATAGATCTAACGATAAAAGTCTGTTAAATGGTATAATTAAAATTAGCTTATAGTGTTAGAAAAAATTAGTTGTAATCTATACAAATATTAGGTTTAGCCCTACCATTCCGCTGTAGATCTTTTATTCAACAGTCATATTGGGGGGAAAATAAATACAAAATCAAGTGCCTATTGATAACTTGAAAAAATTACACTATGTGACAAAACGTAGTTTTGAGATGACATTGTCCCCAGTTACTTCTTCTATTGGGAGCATAGAGCTTCCACAAACCATCGCCATTGTCAATATTTGTTTGCATCTTCCCATGTAGGAGCGAGTTAGAAATGGAATTGCATTGTAATTATCGCTAGATGTCTTATATAGTAGTATGAGAAAATAATCTTTAAACACAATAAACCTTTGGAGGTTATTGTTCAAGAGATCGCCACTCCTCTAGAAGTTGGGAAATATAGGAGGTCGTTAAAAACTGATTGGAATTGCGTCCATGCTCAGACAATTACCGATAGATGGTTCTATTTGTGTTTATATCGTAGACACGAATCATCAGTGGTGAATTGCCTGGCCTACGAAATAAATCGGTTTATAACGCTCTCCCATATTTACCCTACTTACACAAAGTCACTACTGTGATAGTCTGTGAGTATTTTTTTACTTCACACCATTGACAAACCTTCCGCAGCAGTAGGGTTAAGACTGGAGAAAGTTCAGAATCGTACTATCGGTAGACGGCACTGTTTTACAAGCGTAAAAACAAACTATTAACGGTGAATTGTCTGTACTACAATATAATTTAATACGATAAATAAACGCTCCTCTAATTTAAGGCTAGTGAGAAAATAATTGGTTGAAGATTAGAATGAATATAATTTATGGAAATTTAGTTCCACGGTTGTAATAATCGGATATAAGAAGAGATCCACGCTTCTATAGAAATAGGGGGAATACGAGAGAGCGTTGAAAATCGAATTATATTATTTCGAAGTTCAGACAATTATCCTTGATAATGTTTGTAGCATAGACACCAAACATTGGTGGTGAATTATCTGAGCTAATATGTACTTTAATCCGATTCTGAACGATCTCACCTATTTCAACTACTCATAATATATTGAGAAAATACTTTAAATAAAAAGATCATCTGCTGCGATAGCCTCTGGAAAGTATTTCCTTTAAACAGAAATTCTTCTCTAGAAGTAGGCGATATATGGGAGAGCGTACAAAACGGATAAAATTACAGACACGAGAGGCGAGTCCGTCATAGTTCTTAGGTTATTGTTCGTCGTCAATTGTTTCCTGGGTTCCGCAGTCGTAATAAACTTCAAAAGATTTCCTTTAAAAAAATTCACACTTCTGTAGAAATAGGGGAAATGCGGGAGAGCGTTGAAAATCGAATCATATTATTTCGTTGTTCAGACAATTGTCCTTGCTAATGTTTATATCATAGACACCAACCATTTGTATCGAATTATCAGAGCTACTATGTACTTTAATCCGATTCTGAACGATCTCACCTATTTCTACTACTCATAAGATATTGAGAAAATACTTTAAATAAAAAGATCATCGCTTGCGATAGCCTCTGGAAAGAATTTTCTTTAAACATAAATGGTTCTCTAGAAGTAAAGGATATATGAAAAGCGTTCAAAACTGATAAAATTACAGACACAAGAGGGGAGTTCGTCATAGTGTTAAAGTTATTGTTCGTCGACAGTTGTTTCCTTTGCTCCACGATCGCAATAAACTTCAAAAGATGTTATTTTAAACATCCATGCTTCTATAGACATAGGGGAAATACGAGAGAGCTTTGAAAATCGAATTATATTATTTCATAGTTCAGACAATTGTCCCTGCTAGTGTGTGTAGCATAGACACCAACTATTTGTGTTGAATTATCAGAGCTACTGTCCGATTCTGAACGATCTCACCTATTTCAACTACTCGTAAGATATTGAGAAAATACTTTAAATAAAAAGATCATCTGTTGCGATAGCCTCTTCTTTAAACAGAAGAGCTTCTCTAGAAGTAGGGGATATACGGGAAAGCGTTCAAAATTACAGCCTCCAGAGGGGATTTCGTCACAGTTCTTAGATTATTATTATTTTCGATTGTTTCCTGGTCAACCTCGATTTCGTGATCCTTGTAGATTCCTGTTAAGAGGCATCCTCGTTATGCTATGCACATTTGTTCTTAAATTGTGGTCAATTTATCTCTATTTTCAATGTTTAATGGATATTTATATTGGTTTCTGGCTCGTTAGACTTTCAAAGATCGGCGTTGGTGTTGGCACAGAATATTTTGTGCATCATTGGTGCCAAAAATTTATTTATGTTCCCGCTGTCCATGTCTCTCCAAATTCTTCGAAATTTTACTGCATTTTTGGTTATATTGTGAGGTAGAAGACAGATATAATTCCGAATAATTTAAGACTTTGTATTGTCGTGAGAGACTTATGTTATCCCTATTCTCTCTGACAGGGTGAAAGAGGATAGTTTTGCTTTACTCCCGCGCTGGCGTGAAACTTTTGTTTTATGTTCCCCTTACGAAGGGTTCTGCATCCTCCTACACCTCTTTTATAGTGGAACATAGGGATCGTAATATGTGCGATAGAGATTTAAAATTGTGCACATACATTGTTAATACTCCTAGGATATTCGATATAGAAAAAAGGGGTTTATCGGTTACCTCGTGGTGGAGAATATAAAAATTTCAGTCCCGGCCAAACTAAACTACTTTTTAACTTGTTTTTATTCGAACTTATTGTAAAATTTCTCACATTTCCTTTCTTAACAGACCCCTGGCTGCTACACAATTCGAGAGTACCAATGCTCGTCATGCCTTCCCCTGTTACGATGATCCCGGCAAGAGGGCCACCTTCAGAGTCACTATCAATCACAGTCCTAAATATACGGCAATTTCCAATATGCCTGTTGATGAGACAGCTACCATGTAAGTTCAATACTCTATTAAAAGATTCAAAACAAATATTTATATCCAGCTTTTTTGTTTTAGTTCCGGTAAAACTGTTTTCCAAACCACACCCAATATGCCCACCTACATTGTGGCCTTTATCATTTCGGATTACACATATAAAGAAGGTGTATTTAATGGCTTGAAACAACGTTTATATTCACGTCCTGGTTCGGAAAATGAACAAGAATTCGGATTGGTAGCGGGTATGTTGATTACACAACGTTTGGGTGAATATTTCGGCGTCGACTTTATGTTGCCAAAATTGGATCAAGCTGCCATACCTGATAAGGGTGGTGCTATGGAAAATTTCGGTTTGGCTACATATGGTGAACATATCTTGTTGTATAACCCGGAGATTTCAACGGTTAATACTCAAACGAATGTGGCCAATATTATCGCTCATGAACTTGCCCATCAATGGTTTGGTGATTATGTGACAATTCAATGGTGGACTTATTTGTGGTTGAAGGAAGGATTTGCCGCTTTGTTCTCGTACAAGGCTGCCGATGAGGTATGTAGAATAATAGTCCGGGATTTTTTTTTTTTTTTGTGTAAAAAAATCTATACCCCTGGTGAGGTCCTGAAAAAATATTTGTTTGAAAAAATCTGGATCTCAGTCTCTAGATTAAAAAATCCACCACTCTTTTTGACTTTGAAAAAATTATTCAAAAAATCCACATCTACTTTTGACCTTGAAAAATTACTTTCAAAAATCTACGCGGCTTTTGGACCATGTCAAAAAATTGTTTAAAAAATACCCGCCTCTTTTAGACCTTGAAAAAATTGTTTAAAAAAATCCAAAAAAAACATTTTTTTTACTTCCTTGTCGGTGTACTCGATTTTTATTTTTCCTTCTACTCTATTTTTGTAGGCCTTCCCAGAATGGGGTATTTGGCAGCAATTCCACACCGCCGAATATCAATCGGCTTTGGTTAGTCAAGGTGTCGACAATCCCCGACCAATGTCCGCTTATGTCCAAACGCCAGCCGAAATTTCGAGCCTCTATGATGATGTGTCCTATGCTAAGGCTGGTTCCGTATTGAGCATGTGGAATCATGCTTTAACCGATCCTGTTTTCAAACGAGGTCTTCACAACTATTTGGATGCCAAGTAAGTAGTCCCACAAGGGGACACCAAAGATCCGTTCAACTTCTTACCTCTACAAATCAATTTTCCCATCCTTTTCAGCCAATATACCTCCGCTGTGGAGAGTGCTCTTTTCGATGCTATTCAAATTGCCGCCAAAGAGGAGAATTACGCCATACCCGCCACCATTGCCGATATGATGGGTTCATGGACCCAACAAGGTGGCTACCCTCTACTCACCGTTAAACGTAATTACGAAGACGGATCCTTCACCGTTAGCCAAGAGGCATTCTACAATAATGAAAATACCAAATCCGATAAATTGTGGTACATTCCCATTAATTACGCCAGTCAATCGAAATCCGATTTCCGTAATACCGAAGCCAGTGATTATCTTCTCAAGGTACCCAGCATTAAAGTGGATGCCAAATTGGGCAAAGATGAATGGTTGATTTTGAATAAACAATCCACCGGTTTCTATCGCATCAATTATGACGAACAAAATTGGAAGATGATTGTTCAGGGTCTTATCGATAGTCCTTACCGTGTCCATGCTCGTAATCGTGCCCAGCTCATTCACGATGCCTATCGTTTCAGTATCTCCAATCGCTTGTCACACTCCATTCTCTTGGACATGTTAACCTATTTGTCCAATGAAGAGGAATATGCTCCATGGGCCACATCCCGTGCTATCTTTGATACCTTCAATCGTTTCTTCATCGATGACAAGGAATATGAACATTTCAAACAGTATTTGGCCTACATTATCGAACCCGTCTATGAGAAGTTTGGCATCCATGAAGATTCCGGTGAACAACATTATCACAAAATTACCCGCAACATTGTTATCCACCTTGCTAATATGGCTGGTCTCAAAAATGCCTTTGGCGATGTCTATGGCAAATTCAAAACGGAATTGCAGGGTGGTGTGACAATTGAACCAAATCTCCAATCCCAATTCTATTGTATCAGCCTTAAAGATGGCTCCGCCCAAGAATTTGATTATGTTTTCAACAAACTAATGTCGATCAATGATCAAGCTTTGCGCAACTCCTTCATCTCCTCGTTGGGCTGTACCGAACGCAAGGAACACCTGCAGAAATTCTTCAGCAGTTCCATTGACACCAGTAACTCACTTCGCGGTCCTGAACGCTTAAACATTCTTAGTGCTGCCTACAGCCGTAGTCAGGCGGGTCTCGATGCTGCCATTGAATTTTTACAAACCAACTATCAGGCCTATGATGGTTTGGCCATAAACAGTAACAAACCTGTGGATACTGCCATACGTGGCATGTCCAGCTATGTGGTGAATAGTGATCAGGAAGCTAAGCTCTTGGAATTGGTCACCGCCCTTAAGTATAGTATCTATGTGAATAGTGATTTGGAGACTGTTGTTAAGTCCAGAATCCAGGATAATTATAATTGGTTGAAAACAAATCGTGGACCGATTATGACATGGATGAGCTCCTTCCGCACCAGTGGTAGTGCTAGTTTGTCATTGTCTGTGGTCTCAATGGCTACCGCCTTGTTGATGGTTTTATTTAGATTGAATTAAATGAGATTAAAAGAAAGTGTGTAGTTGTTGTTGTTTTTCGTGTTGTTGTAATATTCCAAGAAAATAAAGCTGTTTTGAATGTTGTTTCTTTTTAAAATTGAGTTGAAGTCTCTAGTGGAATTTATTGCGACACGTAGGTTAGAGATTATAAAAAATAATTGTTTAAGAAATTCTCTTATATAGTTCAGCTATTATTTGAAAAAAAATTAAAATTCCAAGCTATTACTTAAAAAATATTTAAAAAATCCAGGCCCATTGCTCCGCTACCACTTTAACAATATGTATAAAATTTACGCCTGTAGCCCAACTACTATTTGAAAAAAATGTGTTTAACAAATCCAAGCCTATAACCCAGGTGTTACTTGAAAAAAATTATTTAAAAAAATCCAAGCCTATTGCCCATCTACTACTTAAAAAAATTGTTTAATAATCCATTCCAAAGTTCAGCTACTACTTGAAAATATTTATTGAAATAATTCACGCATATAGCTCAGCTACTACTTGAAAACATTGTTTAAAACATACTCCCTTGTGGGGTAGGTGCGGGACACAATATTCTCCATCTTCGATATTTATGTACGTTTGAAGGAAATATTACGATTAGGAGTATTTAAAGGTAATTTCCAAAAAAAAAATATTATTATTATCTAAACCGATTTTCCGGTCCCGAACGTGAAACGATTTAACTGACAGTGAACTCTCGATAATGTAAGTACTCAATCTGACATTAAAGTATTGAAAAAATCAGGGAATTAGCGGTAAATAAGCTGGCTGGTCGAATAAAAAATGTGAACAAATTTGAAAATATGAACTAGCCCGACATTAATTAGTTTACATTATCGAGAGTTCACTGTTCACTGTAATGTAAGATATGAATGTTTTGTTTACAGTTTTCTTTGACTGCAATAGCGTGGTGCATCATTAATCCTTGCCACAACATTCAGAAAGGAATACTACTTTGATTATATGCCACGCACAGTGGTTCAGAATAGTTTTTCCTGGTCAAAAGTCTGTAAATATTTAAATTTATATTTTTTATATATTTGTTTGCTTTAGGTTAGGTTGAAGAGAGGAGTGGATGATACCACCACATGTTCAACATGAGAAGGACATACATATAAGCCATTTGAGGCCTGTTGTGCGCTCTAGAAATGCGGAGAAAGTCAAGTCAAGAATTAGTGAAAAAACATTTGGGTTTGATTCCCCTATGAATCTAGGAATTCCGTGTTTTTGCGAACTCTTTCAATCTTCTCCATTCACACCCCCTCAGATCGCTTAGTCCGTGAAGAGTGTCATTTCCCATGTAAATGATGGGAAATGGCACAGGAAATGTTCCAGCGTTTCACTGTCTTCCCTACACGCTCTGCACATGCTACTACCTTCGCCTCCAATATTGAGTAGATGTGCCTTCAGGCCGAGGTGTCCCGTCAGAATACCCGTCTTATTTCTTTATTGTTTTGTTTTTATTTTTTGTTTAGCGTTAGAATTTGCTTAGTTTTGTATTCACTTGGTTCGTCCCATAAGATTTTGGTGATTTTTCCTGTCCCCTCATTATCCCAAAGGGTTATGTGGGTCTCATTCGCCCCTCATTTCTTGGCGTGTTTCGCTAAAGGGTTTGGCGGTATTCACATCTATTGTGGGTAGTGCAGTGGCACTCCTAGTTCGTTGCCTATGATTCCTTGGTGACCCGGTACCCATATAATTCGTACAGGTCCTTGTTGTGAGAAATCATTAATGACATTTATACATTCCAGTACAATTTCGGATTTAACTGTTTTGTCTTTATTGTCTTTATAGCTTGTTTGCTGTCCGTAATAATATTTATTGTATTTTTTCATTGGTTTGAAATTGACCAGTTAAGACACTCTGTTATAGCCTGTAAGATTGTGCTGTAACCTGTCAGACGAAGAGAAGTCCCAGTCCAGTTTTTCCTCCTAATCGAGAGCCATCTGTGTAGTAACAGTTACCAGGCGGCATCTGAACTAGTGTTCCGCTTTCCATTGTTCTCTGTCTGGTATTATAGTTTCGCACCGTGTCGCTACTCTCGTTTCAGGTATGCGGTCTGAGTCAAAGGTATTGAATGTTGACTCAGTAGTTGCCTGTAATAAGTTTTTGTGTGGTATGTTGTGTCCGGTGCCTACCGACTGGTACATTGCTTTGAGTCTTAAAGCTGCAACCGCTGATTATATATTTTTTGGATGACTATTGGATGTATATATAGAATTGCCTCCAAAGCACTAGTTGGTGTTGTACGCATTGCTCCGCATATTCCTAGGCAACACTTTTTTTGAACTTTCTGCAACGTTTTTACGTTACATTTTTTTATCCATTGCTGTCCACCAGACAACAGATGCGTATGTTAGAATTGGTCTAATAACGCTCTTATAGATCCAGTGTATCATCTTTGGATTGAAACCCCATTTAGAGCCTACGGCTCTTCTGCAGAAACACCAGCATCTTTGGGCCTTGTCAGCCCTTAACTGTATGTGGTCTTTCCATTTAAGTTTCTTGTCTAGAATTACTCCCAGATACGTAACTTTTTTTGATATGGCTATCGTTTTGTTTTGGAAGATGGGTTCTTCATACTGACCTATTTTTGTCCTTCTAGTGAAAAGACACATCTCCGTTTTGTCCGGATTTACGTTTTGCCCAATCGTATGCGATTTTTAGCACCGTTTCGGCTTTCCTGCAAAGTATGTTTGGATTCTTTGTCCTAAGAAGTATTATAACGTCGTCTGCATAACAGCATAACATTACTGGTGAATGTAATATGATCAAATTTAGCTGTTGAAAGAATTCAATGTCAAACTTCAAAATTGGATGTTTTGGTATTTTGCACATTTGTATCTTCCAATAGGAATAAATATACAAATAAAATAAATATTAAAAAATATATATTTTTAGGAACATTCTCCACCCAATGAGATATAAAAAATTAAATTACAGTTTGGTTGAAAAACATGTCCAAAACTTCAAAAAATACTAAAAATTGGGAGATGCCCTTATATAGGGTTACCCTAACAATTTGACTTGTACTTTTAATGGTTAGTAGAAAGATTTGCTACACAATGGTATATTTACTATAAATATAGTGTCCGGAATTTTTTGTTTAATTTTTATTACAGTCAATGGGTTGTCTTTACAAATTGTTCATACAATACTGAATGAGACTTTCTCTGAAATAGACAATTTACACTGCCAAATAATAACTACACACCATTGCTACATCAGTGATGGCAAACAAATTATTGAAAATAAATCGTAGTGAAATATATTTTCTTTGAGATTGAGATTTTTATTAACTCCATGATTTCATTATTTCTGTTGTCAACACCTAAGAATATTTATATGAAAAATTTTTCATCGATACATTTTGAATGTTATTTTCGGCTTCAAGTAGAATTTGTTTACATTTTGTGGTTTTAGTGTTTCGCATGTTAGCTTAGAGATTTATCTTAAGAAATGAATCTCAAACGTGGCCAAATTTAGAAATATTCACCAAACGGTATGTTTCGGTGAATGTTGCGTACCATAGCTTACGAAGAGTTCGTTGCCCATGTTTTGGTAGAGTCTCAATCGGAGAGAGAAAAAATTGCTTCGACAATTAGTTTGAACGCATGAAAGAATCGATAAATCATGCGGAAGAATGCTTTGAATATCCATTTTTTATCCTTTCGGTATAGGTTCCATTCTACCAGCCTTGTACCAGTCGTTGGTTTAACTGTTGTGAAGGTTTTGTTATCCAACCTATACTAATAAACGATGAAGCTAGAATCTTGAAATCTTGGTTGAGGTTAACTCGAGGTCCAAAGGTGTCAGATAAAGGTGGGTTTTTGTTAATTTGTACTGGAACGGAACTTAAGGTACTAAATGTGGTACCATTTGCACCGGTAGGACTGTGGACATTTGGTTTGGACAACTATAGTAACCGAAAAGTACTAAAATGTACTAAATTTGGTACAATTTCGTAGCGTGGGAAAAAACTTTAAATTTGCAATGCGAATAAGGGCTTTTTAGTTTTAGAAATTTACACTTATGTGTACGAAAATTACGAAATTACAAAATCCAAATTGTACCCAATAATTGGTATCATTAAGTACATATTGGTACGAAATTCCAAAAGTTCCTACATACCGCAATCCTACACCCAACAATGATCCCAACTCCATATTTCAGGATCCCAGCTATATTGTTTCACCTAAATTTTATAGTGTACCAAATTTAGTACACATTAAATTGAATTTCCAAAACTTCACACATAGATCAATTCTACACACCAAAAGTGATCCTAACTCTCAATTTCAGGATCCCAGCTAAATCGGTTCACCCAAAATCCAAATTGTACCCAATATAGTGTATACACGGTTTTAACCCAATTTTCCATTCTGAGTGTCTGTAGTAAATTTTTTTCTCGGAATTAAATTCCATATCGATATTTAATTTAATATTAAACGAAAATGTCAAAAACTCTTGAAGATATTATTGTGTATCGGCTATGTACGTCCATAAACGTCCATATAAAAAATTAAAAAAAAAAATTAAAAAAAAAATTAAAAAAATATAAATATTATAAAAAAGTGCTACACCTCGAAACACGACAGTATTTCGCGATTAAATTAAAATAAAATTATAGCAAGAGTAGACTAAACCATGAATTCATCACCTGGTAGACCTTATTTAATAGGCCATGCCATAGTTGTACAACCTCGAAATAAACCTCGTCAATACTTTTGTACTATTATTATTCAAACCAAAAAAAGTACTGTCTATGCCATCCCTAATGATCATCATCATAATTTGTTTATTGTCATTCTCTTCGCTCAAGTTTAAGCTGTCAGTTTCAAAACCTGAATTTTCAGTCACTGTCTTAACTTTCAATCGAGAACATGTCTTGTGGCGATCAACGGCAACGCAATGCTTATCAGCATTTTTTGATAGCTACGCTTCTTCTGGTGGCATTCTATGGTGAACGGATTGCGGTGGCGGGGCAAATAAACACC